CATTTATTAATTTGATTAAAGAAGGTCATTGAAGAACTGAGTATCCCACTCCCTTCTTATCTAGTTTAATTTTAATAACCAAGAAATAGTAGGGTACTCTCACACTCACTCCATGAAGCTGTGCAAGTCCGGCTAATCTTTTGTTTGTTGCCTGCATGGGAGAAAGTAAAGAAAAATTGCAATCTGGGAAACAGCAGACCATTTTGAGTAGCTTTTAAGATAGAGTCAAGTTCTTTTTTTGGTTATCAAATTAGTTAGCTGGTGAAGACGACTTGATCAATATACACATTTGAAACAATAATTCATAAGAACAAGTAGAATTTATCTGTATTTCAGTAAACATATCAATAATCATATAATAAACAATTTGTAAATTATTATTTAAACAGTAATTAAAGATGTCAGGAAAATATGGACCCAAGATTAAGAAGGAAAAACAGGATGGTTTGAACTTTAGAGAGGAGACTATTAAAACTCACCACCCTGGGGGCAGCTAGGTGGCACAGTAGATAAAGCAGCGACCCTGGAGTCAGGAGGACCTGAGTTCAAATCCAGCCTCAGACTTGACGTTAGCTGTGTGACCCTGGGCAAGTCACTTAACCCCAATTGCCTCAAAACAAACAAAACCTGAAGGATTGTGTTTAAGAGGCAGCTAGGTGGCACAGTGCATAGAGCTTTAGACTTGGAGTCAGGAGGACCTGAGTTCAAAGCCAGCCTCAGACACTTGACACTTACTAGCTGTGTGACCCTGGGCAAGTCACTTAACCCCAATTGCCTCACCAAAAAGAGGGGAAAACAAAACAAAACAAAACTCACCACCCTGGCAGGATATACTGGTTATAGGAATACCCTGGAGATATTGTGAGTCTGGTTCCAGACTACCACACTAAGGTGAGTCATGAATTTTGGGGTTTCCCAGTGCATATAAAAGTTATGTTTGCACTATACTGTAGTCTGTTAAGTGGGCAATAATTATATACCTTAATTAAAAAATACCTTATTGCTAAAAAAGAGATGCTAACCATCATGTGAGTCTTTAGCAAATTGCAGTCTTTTTGCTGGTGGAGCGTCTTGCCTAGAATTCAGTGCTTCTTAAATTATGGAAAAAGTTTAAGAAGCCGTGGCTTAGATGTTGATGACTGCTGACTAATCAGATGGTGGTTGCTGAAGGTGTGGGTGGGGGAGCACCTGTGGCAGTTTCTTAAAATAAGACAACAGTGAAGTTTGCCACATTGACTTTTCCTTTCACATGAACACTTAGAGGCCATTGTAGGGTATTTAACTTGCCTAATTTCAATATTGTTGTGTCTCAGGAAATTGGGAGGCCCTAGGGTAGGGAGAGAGACTATGGAGGGCTGGTAGGTGAAGAAGTCAGAACACACACATTGAGTTTGCTTTCTTATATGGGGCACAGTTTGTGGTGCCCCACAACAGTTATAATAGTAACATCTAAGATCACTGGTCACAGTCAGCACCACAGACATAATAATAGTGAAAGTTTGAAATATTGTGAGAATTACAAAAATGTGACAGACACATGTGAGCACAGCACGTGCTGTTGGAAAAAAAGTGAAACACAATAAAACAAGGTATGCCCGTATAGAAGGCTGAATGGCAAAAAAGAAATACATAAGAAATTCATGATTGAAAACATCAGAGAATAAATAACATATAGAAGATTGACCCAGACTAGATAATTTCTAAATTATAGGTCCAGACCCTATATTATGTACTTTAGGGCAGCAGAGAAGTGGAATGGTGCAGTAAATGGAGTCAGGTAGACCAGGGTTGAGATCCAGTCTCTGGCTCAGACTGGTTTTGTGACTTTGGCCAAGTCACTTAACTTTCAACTGCCCCTCCCCCTAAGTGGGCAGTCCCCAAGTGACTTTCTAAAACTAAATTATTGAGAAGCTGCTTGCCTATATTTGTGGCAGATGGAAGGTGCTTCTACAACAAGAGTTTTCCACGTTATGAAACAGCAGTTTGACCCCACCCCCAAAAGAAAAAAAAAAGGTTCAGACCAGGATGAAGCTGGAGGAATATTGTGAAATTAGTACAGGCAGAATTTGAACTAATTCTTGAAGTTAGGAAGAAGATTGCCCATGACGCTTAATGCTTTTGTTTATTGTACAGGGAAGGATCCTTTGAAGATCATGGTTTAAAACAGGACAAGGTCCATGTAACCTCCTAGTGCTCTAAGTTCAAAAGCTAGCACATGAAAAGTCAGAAACTTCTTCCTCTGGCTTCTGACCAACAATCTAGGATGGCTAACACAGAGACAGGGGCACTACGTCCAACGGAATCCTTGCTGAGAATCCATTTTATACCATGGCTAAGTAAACCTCACTTTAAAAGTTCATTGTTGATGTTTTATGGGTCTTATTTTGTCCAGTTCCAAACCTGAAGCATCAGATATGGCTGAATCAGGTTGTGAAGTACCCACTGTGTGCTAGGCACTTTGCTGTAGACCCTGGGAATGAGTGGGGAGGTACTGCTGTGGAGGAGCTTACATTCTACTGTAATGCGAGTCAGCCAGTAAGGGGAGGAACTCGAACCCAAGGTACCAAGGGAAAGAAAATGGAATCACTTCTGCTCAAGCTGTGCCCTGAATTTTCTTGATAATTTCTGATTTAAGAAAGTGAGTGACCCTGAAAGTGACTCTAACCCTTGTCCTTCTGTGGCCTTTGAGATTTTCTATCCAAGGTCCCCACAGAAATCTTAAGATTCTGTAAGATTCCTATTTCTCTAGTGTTTAAGTAAATCCACTCCTTTGAAAATATTTTAAAAGTTTCATCCTAGAAACTGTTCTCAAAACATCAAAATTACTTTAAATTTTCTTTTTTGGGGGGAGTGAGGAGCAAGGCATTGTTTCACCAGTGGAAAGGATGTGGGATTTGGAACAATAATAATTGATTTTATATAGTCCTTTTAAGACTCACAGAGCACTTTACACAGGTTATCTCATTTCAGTCAGTAAAAATTTATTAACAGAATTAAGAATGAATTTTTTAAAATCATCTGAATTGAAGGCCCTGGGTTCATCCTGGAGTTGCTGCTCACCACCTGGGTCACCTCCAACTCTCTGGGTCCAGCTTCTGGATCTAAACCAATGTGAGGGTGGGACATGTAGCCTGGTCGACTGATTTCGAAGTCTACCTTGACACTTGCCAGCTGTGCCTGTTGGGGGCAAACTGCCCTCTCTGGAGTTTGGCTTCTTGGTCTGTACAAAGCGAGGGCTGGGCTTGATGACTTCTCAGATCACCTCTGGCTCTCAATCCGTAATCTTCAGTTATCGTTGTTGAGTTGTTTGTTCAGTCATGTCTGATTCTCCATGGCCCCATTGGAGGTTTTCTTGGCAAAGATATTGGGGTGGTTGGCCATTTCCTCCCCCAGATCACTTTACAGATGAGGAAACTGAGGCAAACAGGGTGAAGTGACTTGCCCAGGTTCACACAGCTAGCAAGTGTCTAGGGCCAGATCTGAACTCAGGAAAATGAGTCTTCCTGACTCCGGGCCCAGCACTCTATCTACTGCACCAGCTAGCTGTTCCATGTAACCTTAAGTAGGAATGGAAAAATAATTAGAAATTATGGCTAAATGCATTTTTTAAATGGGGAAAGGATTAAGTATAAATTGTATCTTAACTTCCATTGCGAAGTTATTGTTCATTTGTGTTTGACTCTTTGTCCGTGAGGTTTTCTTGGCAAAGATACTGGAGTGGTTTGCCGTTTCCATCTCCAGTATATTAAAGCAAACAGAGACTAAGTGATTTTCCCAGGGCTACACAGCTAGAAAATGTCTGAGACCAGATTTGAACTTGCGTCTTCTGACTCCTGGCCCCAGTGCTCTACCCACTGAGCCACCTAGCTCTCCCCCCATTGAGAAGCATAGGTATTCAAATGTGTGGGTAATTGCATAAGAGAAGAAAATAGTAAAGAACATTCCAGATAAATGAAAAGCCTCCAAGAAATTCTAAAATGAATATTTCTCTGATCATTTTTCCTGACATTATCTGTTTCCTGAGTTTCATTTCTTCTTTTAGGTCCTTTCTCTAGGACCTACTGGCCCTAGGGTACAGGCTGTGCCCAAATACTAACAGAATTCCAGGTCCCATCCCTTTGCCCAGACGGCTGACGTTCTGTCTTCTCTGGCGTGCTGTCAGTGACCCAGAAATCTGCTTCTGCTGTCACGATTGTCGAGCTGCAGTGCGGGGTGAGACTGCTTCTCACCGTGAAAATGCCCTTTAAAGGGCCCAGGCAGCATCACCTGTGACAGGTCTGAATGGTCTTAATCATAAGTATTATCACCAAAAGAGAACTGTAAGGAGCCAGATACTACAAACTTCCCAGGGCCAAAGGTTAGGTGGTCCAGGTATGTGGCTTATAAGACTCCTTATGTCAAGACAGGAAAAGAATTGTGCTTCTTACCTTTCCTCTCTCACATGGTTTCAGATAGCTTGTCCTTTTGGTCATTTAGACTTACTTGACAGTTTGCTTCATTTTTACCTTTGGTTGGGTGCATGTTATTTAAAATGTCCACTGCTCCCTTGGAAGTGGGGCTTGGTGAGCAGGGGTTGCTCTTTGCCCCACGGTGGTCTTCTGCCTTCTCACTAGGACTGCTTCATGCCGCGTCTCATGGTGGCTTAGCTGATAAGAAACCCTTAGCTTCTGTCCTCCAGAGGACTGTGAACAGAAAGGGTCTTGTTTGTGAAATAGAATGAAGGGGGAATCATGCCTGGTGAGTTCTCCTGAGGGGAGACTTAGGAATGGGTATTAGTTTTATAATTCCCTTCATCATAGATGTTTGGGGATTAAAATTCACAGAGGTTCTCAGTGCGAAAACCTTGGATTAAAAGCATGGCATTTTTGCCTGAGGACAGACAGTTTTTAGGTTGTTTTTTTTCCCCTGCCAGTACAGCCCAGTATTGCGGACATAGTGGCTTGCCTTCCTTCATCTAACATAGATACAGAGGAAGCTGATCTCTGCTGTTTTCCTTTCAGGCTCAGAGCAGATTGAACCAGTGCAGAGACAGGAATTTCTTTCCCCTCTACCTGATAACCATGCATGCCATCAAGATGCAGTCACTATTGATGTGCATAATTGATCACGTTATTAACCTGCGCAAAAAGCCTTATTACGGTAATAAAGCCTAACTTCATTATACACCGTATTTAGAAGAGCTAAATGTGCTGGGGAGTGGCTGATAGGTTCCCATTTCAGGGCTGATTCTGATGATGATAATGGTTAAATAGCATTGATTGTCCTCTAATTGAATTTCTTTTCTTTCCATAGGCCTCTTCTGAAGAGCTAAAAGCTGCCTACCGGCGGCTGTGCATGCTTTACCATCCAGACAAGCACCGAGACCCAGAGCTCAAATCACAAGCCGAGCAACTGTTTAACCTTGTCCACCAGGCTTATGAAGGTCAGTCAGGGTCTGGGTTTTGTGAAAGCTGCCCCAGTAGCACATATTGGATTTTTATAATACTTGCGTTGAAGAGTGTAGAGGACAAGGGTCCTTGGTGGGGTTTAAAGATGGTGGTTAGCGTCGTGCCTTCTACTGACTGACTGACTTGACTTTGAAAAAGCAATATTTTGCTTTGGAAATCAATATGTGCCCAATAAGTGGAAAATGAGTGCAGAAGCTGTGCACGAGGCCAGGTTTTGAATTGTAAGAGGAATCAGCTGCTTTTCAGTTGTTTACTCCAGTTTTCTTCCAGAGGGAGACCCTCCGGTGCAGGGCCAGGAAGCTTTTCCCCCCAGGCTGGCAAGTGAGGTGGCTCAAGTTTGTCTACATCAGAAAGAGAGTCTAAAGCTGAACTCCCACCTCCTGGGTTCCATGGCCCGTGGGGGAGGAAATGCCTCCCAGAACTTGGGGCACTTGGTGATATTGAGAAAATTCAGTCCCAAGAATGAGAACAGGAGCAAGCAGAGGGTTTTTATCCTTATATATGATTTATGTCACAAAGGGTTTGTTGTGCCGAGTTTTCTTGTGGTGAAGTATTATGCTTGGATTTAGAATTTATCCCAAGCAAATTGGCAATAACTCATGCCAGCAATACGTTTAGTGAATTGTGAGAGCCATTCTCCCATAATTAGACAGGCTAAAAATGAGAGGACATGTTAGTCTATGAAATAAAGACTTTTCATTGTACAAATAAAAACATATCTTGTATCTCAGTTTATAATTTTGCCTAAAAATTAGATTTTAATGACCAGTGAAAGTCAGGCAGTGGCAAGCGATGTGTTTGCATAGCCAGGACAATGTAATCTTATCAGACTTAACTCTCCAGTCAGAGGCAGATGTTTCAAATCCATTTATAGGAAGGGCTTGATTGAAACTGCCTTCCTCTGATTACATTCTGTTATCTGTGTGGCTGAATTAATTTTACAGTTGTCTGAATTATTGATATAGTTTGTGTGCAGCATTTTGGCAGTTTGGGAGGAGTAACTGAAACACGAGAGAGTTAACAGCAAAGCCCGGCCAGCTCTTGTCAGACTGCTGCAGCAGTGAGCCTGGCACCCAGTGGTTTAGCCTAAAGGGAGACAAAAGCAAAATTGTGAATAAATGATTCCTTATTAAATCTGAGAGATTAGCTGAAGGGGTTTGGTACCTGTGTTTTTGAATGGTCAGCATTTCTTTCCTCCATATTAGATTTAAACATGAGCAGAATCATTTGCATCTTCTTCCCTTTTTTTAATTAGGCCTTAAAATATATGGAGCGGTCTGCAAAAAGAAGTCAAGCTCATCTATGGAGATTGGCAAGGGTTGGAGTTGGGTTAGAGTCTTGGCGGAGTGGGGCGGAAGGTCACAGGTGTTGTGTGTCAGTGGTGACTAAGCTGGATCTTGGCCTGGCTTTATGCAGCTGTGTTCTTCAAGGCGCTGCCCACTTGTGGGTTATACACTGTTCATAGGATCATAAGTTTAGAATGAGAAAGAACTTGAGACATCATCCCTGTCACCTCCCCTCATTTTACAAATGAGGAAACTGAGGCCCAGAAAGAAGAGACTTGTCCAGGTGCCCCTGGCAGTAAGTGTCCAAGGTGGGGTTTGGGCTCAAGCCTTCCGCCTCTGCATCCCAGGCTTGCTGTCCTGACCTCTCCTGAGAAGCTCACATCCTTCTGGAGAACAGCCTGTTTTCTCTCGTGTTATTTTATATCACAGACCCAACTGGCAGTGTTGTGACAATTATTTACAAATAAGTGCTAATGCTACAGAAAAACATGGGCTGCTTAAGATGCTGCAAAGGGCTGTTCAAGGAGGAAATTACCATAACAGTTGCAAGTAGGTTCTAGTGCCTGGTCCCTCGTGGGCTGAGTACCCTCCTGGAAGGCCTGCCTCGGAGCCCACCTGACACTTGGTAGCTTTGTGACGTGGGCAGATCGCCCCTAGCAGCCTCGAGTTCCACATCTCTAAAAATGGTCATCATTAGAGTCATAGTCCCGATCTCACATTGTTGCTGTGGCTGTCCAGATTACCAAGGGCTTTGCAGACATTAAAGCTCTTTGGCAAGACCAGCTATTAGCATTATAATGAGATTTCTTTAGAAGTTGCATTAACTTTTTTTGTACCTTTGGTATAGCTAAGCAGATATTTGAGAAAAGTAAAACCGCTTTGTCCTGGTGGTTGAACTAATGCATCTTTCCCAGGGGACCTGCCATGCCCAGGAAGCTTCTTCAGCCCTGAGAAAGCTGACTCTGTTAGTCAAGAATAACCACTATAAACAAGGGGAAGATGACAGGAGGAAAGGTGTAAGATTCCTGGGAATTCACAGAATAACATAAATCTTGTACTTTGTAAACATATGCCTTTTAATTTGCAGTTCTCAGTGATCCCCAAACCAGGGCCATCTATGATATATACGGGAAAAGAGGACTGGAAATGGAAGGATGGGAGGTAAGAAAAATTATATGTGTCATGTCCCAGAAAAAAAAAAGTATGAACGAATTAAAAAAAACAAATATTATCTTAAGGAAAAATACACTTGAGTCAGTGAAATTCTAGGCCTTTTGCCCTCTATCTTTGTTTAAAATTGAATAGGAGTTTTTAAAAAATAAATGTTCGGCAGCCATTATTAAGTGGCTGTCTGGTACCTTCTTTCATTCATAAGTGGAGTTTTGGGGTTTGGGAAAGCCTAAGTAGGAGTCACTGAAAAACCAAAAGTATTCAGAAATATGCTGTTAGAGACACGCTTTTTCAACATCATGTAACGTTGCACATGATAGTCTTTTGATATGTGTCTGCTTAATGTATTCCCCTTTGGTCTTGGAACTTAAACAGCTACATGTGCCCCGTCCTTGGAGACCATGAGAGCCTTTGGCATACATCTTGATTCTGACAAGGGGGGAGAAGAAGAGAGTAAAGTACAATTGCCTCTTGTCCCCTTCCCGCCATTGCTCAATAGGAGTTAGCAGTGCCTTAGGCAGGATTACTTTAGTGTGGGTAGGAGTTAAGTCTTAGTCATTTTAACAGAGGCAGGATTACTTTAGTGTGGGTAGGAGTTAAGTCTTAGTCATTTTAACAGAAGATTTCATCCATAAACTCTTCCCAGATCCCCACATCTCCTTCATCAGCTACTGGGAGGAGGGAGGAGAGACTCTTGTCTTCATTAAATTCTTTCTATCTAATATGCCACTACAAGTACACATTGTATTTTAAAATAGAGGTTGACTGTGTCTTTTCATACTACCGTTCAGGGCTCTGGGAAACCACGGCCCCTGCTTTGTATCTCCAGTTTCATTGTTAGGTTTTTAATTCCAAACAGCATTGCTCCAAACTTCCAATTAGAGTGATGGGGCTAAGGTTTTCCTGGCAAAATATTTCATGGCTTCCCTAGTGCCAGAACAAAATGATCTCATCATAACAAATGCACCCAGTAACGACTGTAAAATTATTGGAGGAGTCACAGGTGGTGAATGCACCTTTGAATAAGCCTTCAAATAAATATGTATTATGAAATCTCTTTAAGGACAAAGCAGAGAGAGCCAGTCAAGTTCTCATCTATCAGAGTTGGCTTGCTTTATGTTTCATATTGATACTGTACCATGGGACAGTGCCTGCACTGCGAGATAAAAATGCCTTCAGCAGAGTCCAGGAAGGTCCCTCCCCAGGTATTAGCTCGGAGATGTATCAGAGCTTAACATACAATAGGTAAATTGAAGCCATTATTTATACTGTAAAGGAAAAGTCTCACTGAACTCCAGCTCATTTTATGGAGCTGGCATCAACATTCCTTCAAGGAATTCCTACAGCTGGATGAATTGTTTAATATGAGGACTGTCCCACTTCAGTAATAGCTTTCACTCCAGGGAGGCAGCTGCATTCCCTTCATGCTGTTGCCGGTATTTTGAGCACTATTAAACTTTTCCGATTGCTGAGGGGTGTTCATTTAATGCATATTTGTTAAGATAAACATATGGGTAGTCAGTGAAGGATGAAGAGCTCTGTTAACACCTTAAGTGTCTCAAATGCCTTTCATCTGAGGATCTCAAAGCACTTCACCATGATTTAGAAGTAGCTTCCAGCATCTGATAGATCAGTAATATCATTTCCATGTTATTAAAAGTAAGCTATCTATATGTGTAGTTTTACTTCTCAGGACTGCACAACCACTAGTCCCTTGCTCCTCTTGGTAAATTCACGCTCTTTTCTTCTTGCAAGAGAATTCCGATTCTCTGGCAGATCGCCATAAGCCTGAGATGTTGCCATTCCCTGTTTGTAAAAACCCCTGCTTCCATCTATCTTGTCATCTTGGATCTGGAATTTAATTGGCAGTGTCTTTGTGGGTGCCTGTTCAGAGAATGGAAGTGGTCCTTTTTCCTGAATGACTGAAAACCAGCTTTGAGCTGCTAGGAGAATCGAGAGAGTGGTTTGAAAAGCTCAGTCCTCATCTCCAGCAAATATTGTGCTCAGACTAAAGATTAAATTAACATTGCTGGTTTTTTTCCCTTTCTCTGCTCTTCTGCAATCTGACTTTCATCCTGAGACCCTCTTCCCAGTCTCTGCCCTTTCCTAGTCTTCTTTCTCAGAGTTATCAAAATAATCTTCCTAGAACAGGGATCCAACCATGTGACTTCCCCTCCTCCAGAACCTTCCCTGACTCTTCATTACCCCTAAAATAACATACATACTCCTCACTTTGGCATGGAAAGCCCTTCGCAGTCTGGCTCCAGTGAACTTCCTAGACTTGTTTCACATCATCCCTCGCATTTCAGCTAGATGGGCCTCCGTGCTCTTCCCCAGCCTTCCTCCACCTCCCCTCTCAGGCCTCCATGACTTTGCCGGTGGTTTGGCCCCCATGCTAGGGATATCTTACCTCCTCATCTCTGCCTCTTGGAATCCCCAGCCTTGGAATTCCTTCAAGGCTCAAATCAGGTTCACATTTTCTTGTGGGAAGCCTTTCCTCATCCCCCTAGTTATTAGTATTCCCTCCCTCTTGAAATTATGTTATGTTTGTATGTTGTATGCCCCAGTTGAATGTAAGCCCCTTAAAATTAAGGCCTCTTTTTTTGGGAGTGGGGTTGTCTTTGTATCCCCAGGGTCTAGGAGAATGCTTTGCTAGTTAAATTAATTGAGTTCATCTTATCCATACTTTCTTGCTAGATCTTTGGAAGCTAATTTAGCCCAGTGGTGGCTGGAATAACTTCTCTTAAAGATAGAATAATATAAAAAGAGCATAACCCTTCCCCCATTCCTTCAGTACCTCCCCACAGCCCATGGGCTTTCCTGGGGAGTTTATATTAACAATTATTGAGTTTATATTCAGCTGCTCAGCAGCATTTACAATGACCAGTTGCTGTGTATTTCCCTATCTCCATGTATCTATTAGAATCTAGTACTTGGATATCTAGAATTGGTTCATATGAAAAAGCCCATTGAGGTTTTCCCTTGAGTTGGACGTTCCTTTAGAGGATGTGAATGGGTGGAGTCTCTGGATTTCTAGGACCAGATGGAGTATTCCCAGATGCAGTGGCCGGGCCAGCCCCTTTCACCTTTTAGTGAGCCCAGCACACGGACCAGGTTTTTGTAGCTTGTGTTAAATAGGATGACCAGACTCAGAGAAAGTGACACCGTTAGAACATTTTCCTCTTCAGCATGTCACAGAGTGTGTCAGAGGAAAAGTAACTTAGAGCTATTAATTCAAGCCTGCAAAGGTTAAGCAGCTCAAGTGCTTGACAGCAAATCTTGCTCTTTTCTGGCCGCTTGGAACCTGGCACTCGCCAGACCCTGGGTTTTCTGACAGGATTCAGATAAGAAACATTGACCCCCAGAGTCTTCTTGGAGTCTTCAGAGGTGTCCATGCATACCTAGGCCAGTGTTCCTGGCCTGTGCTGAAGCTGGGGCTGACTGGAAAGCTTTTTTTTTCCCTTTGCATTTTTCCTAGCATTCTGTAGAGCAGGCAATTAGACTATTAAACTCTTTTTTGCTAGGGAAAAATAGCCTGACAGCTGTAAACCTTAGAGAGGTAAAACAAAGCCGTTGGCCTCATGGGCCTCTAAGGGCTGCTGCAGCTGTAGATCCTAAGATCCTAGGAAGTATGTGTTTTCCATGCCTGCGCTTCTCTTACCTCCCTACCTTTGGCCAGCAGTCCAGATCAGGTCATTGAGAGCAGTCCAGGTGAAGAGGGATTGCCCTGATTCACCAACCCAGGAGGTTTACAAGGTACTCACAGGGAATTACTGGGGGGTAGTTTTGCTTGCCTTCCAAGAAAACAAACAGTTTATTTATTTTTTCCTTTGAAGATCGTAGGAATTTAAGGTCATTTATCCATTCACCTCCTTTTGCCAAGAAGGAAACTATCAAGTCACAAGCTCATATTGCACATCTGCTAAGTGCAGGCACCCTGCTGAGCTCTGGGGGTACAGAGGAAAGCAAATCAACCCTTGTTTAAGGGAATTCACAAGCCCATGGCCAAGACAATAGTGCAGATAGCTGTGTACGAACCCCATGCAGGACAAATGGGAAAGCATCTCTGAAGGAAGGCACTAGTGTAAGGGACAGTGGGGAGGGGCTTCTGGCAGAGGTGTGGTTTGAGCTGTGACTTCCAGGAAGCCCAAGGAGCTGAGAGGGGGAGCCGAGGAGGAAGAGGACTCCAAGCGTGGTGGATGGCCAGGGAGCATGCCTGACGGTCTGCAGCGGAGTAGAGGGCAGGAAGGTACCAGGCTGGGAGGGGCTTGAGAAGCCAATCAGAAGGTTGTGTATTTGATCCTGGAGGTAATAGGGAGCCACGATAGTCGGGGGAGGGGAGGTTTGTGACCTTGTCCAATTTGCCCTTCTGGCCGATCAGTTTGACAGATGAATGGAGGCTGGTGATGGGAGACTAGCAGGCAGACCCTCCAAGAGCTGGTGCAATAGTCCAGGCATGAGCTGATGAGGGTGTACACTAGGTAGAGTGGCAGTGTCAGAGAAGAGAGAGTATGCAAGAGATGTTATAAAGTTAGATACGACAGGACTTGGCAGCTAGTTGGATAGAAGGGGTGAAAGAGGTAAGTGACCTGCCCAAGGTCACACGGATAGCAAAGTGACAGAGTCACAGTTAGAACCCAGAGCCTCCGACTCCAAACCAGCACTTTTGCCCCTGCCCTACAGAGAGGGAAATAGAAAGGGGATTGAGAAGATAATGGTCAATCTGAAAAATGGTACCTGGTTCTCCTTCCGTCCAAGATCAAGCTACTCTGAGAAAGTGAAACGGCTATAAATAGGAACACATGTCCTTGGTGTACCCAGAGCTGAGCGGGCTGCAGGATGAGGGCTGCTTGCGACATCAGTTAAATATAATCTGAATAGTGTATTTTGTGAGGTCACAAAACTGTTGAGACAATCACAGAGGTTCATTTTGCCATTTGAAATTTGTTCTCTAGGTAACAATTGAAGCAACCCTGTCCTCTCTACCTACGTCCGTCTGTCTTTCTGTTAACATAGATATGCTTTAGTACTTCAGTGAGGATTTGTGGTTTTTAAAATAAATTTTCATCAATGTCTTTTTTTTTTTGCATTACCATAGTTTCCCCCGGTACCCCTCCTGCCTCCCCAGAAGCCATTCTATAAAACAGTATTTCTTAAAGACAAAGGAAAGATGGAGGGAGGGGGAGATTAGCATAATTGATCAATACATGGAAAGAGGCTGAAAATATGTGCTACGGGCAACACTGTGGGAGGCCTCCTCTTTGAGGGAGGCTGGGGCTAAGGGAGGATGTCTTCACATCTCCTTTGAGCCTTACTTATTCCCAATCATTTTCTTTTTTTTCTTTTTTTTCCCTTTTTTTTCTTTTTTAGGCAGTTGGGGTTAAGTGACTTGCCCGGGGACACACAGCTAATAAGTGTCAAGTGTTTTGGTCTGAGGTCAGATTTGAACTCAGGTCCTCCTAACTTCGGGGCCAGTGCTCTATCCACTGCGCCACCTAGCTGTCCCTTATTCCTGATCATTTTCAAAGAGCATTTGTTAACTCTCAGCTATGTGTGTGGCACTGTGCTAGGCACTGGGGATACAAAGGGAAAAAAACAAAGCAGTCCCTGCCTTTTGGGAGCTTACAGTCTGCTGGGGGGAGGAAGCATGTACACAAACAAGTAAATATGAAGCCTATACACAGTGATTAAAGCTGAGGGAGTTGGGAACACCAGAGCTGGGGAAGGTCCATTTCTTTTTTGTGATTTGATCAAGTGACCACCTTTGGGCACCTCTTATTTCTTTTCTTTTTTCTTTTTTTTTTTTTAAGTTGTGTGACCATGGAGAAGTCATTTGATTTATTTAACATTTTTTTTTAATTTTGAGTTCCAAATTCTCTTCCTCCCTCCAGTCCTTCCCTTACCCATTGAGAAAGTGAGCAGTATGATACCCATTATCCATGTGAAGTCTCACTTCTTTTCCTGAAAAAAGTATTTGTGCTGAGTAGGCCAGAGGTAGTCCCACAAGCCTTTGACCTCTTTTGGTTTTTATCCCAAACCATATTTTCTAATGATTTTGCTGGCCTTGCCTATGACCACATTTGCACTGAAACTTCTGGGTATCAAAAAATAGGTTAATTTAATTTCATAGGCACACAGAATTTTAGAGCAGGAAAGCACCTTCGTGGCCATCCATGCCTGAAGAACAGTCCCTCCCGCAGTGGACCAGAGAAGTGGTCCTTCAGCCTCTGATGAACATCTCCATGGAGATGGAGGTTGCTCTCACCTGACCAGCCCTCAGGGGTCTTACTAAGCTTCCTGTGTTGAAGTGCTGGGGCACCAGATTCCCTGGCCTCATGGCAATGAGCCTTGTCTTCGAGCTTGTCATTTTTGATAGCTCTGAGATATGCGTTCTTGGACTTGCTTCAGATTTTTAATATTTGTTGAATGGGGTTCGTTAGGAAATTTTGAACATGATTAGATTTGCTTCTCACAACATAAGATAGAAGCTAATACAATGAAACCAGGAAAGAAATTCATTCTGAACTCTCTAGGGGGAGAGGGGAAAATCATCACCTTGGGAATATTTGATGTCCTGTGAAGTGACAGCATAGTTGAGTGTATAGAACCCCAGACTGGAGGTCAGGACCCCTGAGTTCACACTTTCCCTTCACCCAACATAAGGCAGGCAGGTCACTGAATCTGAATTTGATTTCTGAACTCTAAAATGGTTGGGTTGGTAGATTTTTAACATCTGTCTCATTGAAACTTACTTGGGATGGTGGTGAAAAAGAAGATGCTATCCTTGGTAAGGGCAGGCCCACTTGGGCTTCTTGGAGAAGAGGCGGGCTGTTCCTGCTGCTCCAGGGGTCATTATTGGGATGCAAGTACCTTTAATGTCAAGTCTTTAACAGCCTCCTTCCCTCTACTCTGCCCACAGATTGTGGAGAGGAGGCGAACACCTGCTGAAATCAGGGAAGAGTTTGAGAGGCTGCAGAGAGAACGAGAGGAAAGGAGGCTTCAACAGCGCACCAACCCCAAGGTAAACCGAGCATCAGCCGTCACAGACAAGCAGAATACAGAGAACCCCACTGTCAGAGGGTGGGTCTCCAGTGAGTGAGGGGAGGGAATTTTTCCTTTAAAAGTCGTGTCTTATCTAAGATGTGCAGATGGAGTGGGACAGAGTTTAGCTTGTATTGTCTTTAAAACAGTCCCACAATAGCTGGCATTGAACCTCTGATGGGGACACAGAGAGAAGCATTTTTGAGTCACTCGAAGGAGGCTTTCAAAACACCCAGGGTCCAGCCCTACAAAGTCCTGCTGGTTCCCTACTAGTTCCAGTCTTTCTTCTGACCGCCACCAGCCACCTTGCCGTGTGACACTCCATTACACTGGTCCCAGAGGCCCTTTGATGTAGGCTGAGCAGTCTTAGCTTTCTGTCCATCACTGCTTATTTTTTTTATTCTGAACTTAAACACAAGAAAGAGCATTTCCGTACACAGCAGAACACAAAAGGAGGCTTCTCTTAGAACCATAAGTCTCTATTTCATGCCACTTGCTTTTTTAAAGAAGTAGATAAATTCTGCATGTGACTCTCAGAACTGATCTGCTTGTCTGTGCTTCCTTCATAGTTCTTCCTTTTGTTCAGTTCTGTCCATTTAAAAAAATATTTCAGTGATCCTCTGTTTGAGGGGCAACTGGTGTAACTCCTTTCCCTTTTTACCCAATGTCCTCTGCCTAATTAACAGGAAGGAAGGGGGAGGAAGGAAAGGACCTTGGTGACAAATAAGGCTTAGTTAGGCAGAACAGATTCACACAGTGGCCATGTCCAAAATGTCTTCAGTCCACCTTGCATCCATCCTGTCTCTGCCAGCAGGTGGGCAGCATGCTTCATCATAGGGCCTCTACTGTGGACCACGTGGTTGGTCCTTGCTTTGACCAGAGTTGTTTGTACTTACAGTGTTGTTGTCCTTGTATAAATTGATCCCCTGGTTCTGCCTGCTTCACTCCTTACCGATTGGCAGCTGCCCTTTGAATCATCTTGGGTCCTTTCTTACAGCACAGTAACACTCCAGGACATTTGTCTAGTGTGTTTGTGGTCTACGTTGTCTACCACAGCTGATACAGTCATTCCCTAGTTGTCCAGGAAGCCCCCTAACACACCCCTTCAATTTTAGTTCTTTTCTTCTTCCCCCCTCCCACCACACCTTTTCAGTTCCCTCTTCAGGACCACAAAGTTTGTTTTGCTTTATTCCTTCCCTGGCATTATCCTCCCTCCTGACCTCCCTCACCCAGCCTCACCCCCCATTGCCACTTGTTTCCCTGTTGAGGTGGGTGCATTTCTACACCAGACTATCTGTCTGTGTGTGTTCCACCCTCCTTTGTCGTAAAAGCAAGGTTCGTCTGGTTCTCACCCCCTTCTTCCTTGTTCCTATTTCCCGTGCACCCCAAGAATGAGAAATATCAAGCTCCCCCCTCCTGATCTCCTTTTGCTCTTTCTTTTTCTTCCCCTTCTTAAAATGCTCAGAATAGAACCAGTGCACCCCCTTAGTATACTAGTGTACTTAGATACTAACTCCCTTCCAATCCTTTGAGGACATTAAGCTTCCTTCTCTCCTTGTTAGAATCTTAGCCTTTCATCTCAGTCCAGTCTCATCCCCTTCCAGTTGCACAGGTAAGTCTCTACCTTTCTGGCTTTCTCTGGACTCTAATGTTTGTATTTCAAAGCATCCACTCAGCTCTTGTGTTTTCAACAGAAACACTCAAAAGTCCTCAGTTCCATTAAAACGCAATTTTTCCTTCTAGGATTTTCCTCCACTTTGCAGAAAAAGTTATTTTTGGTTGTAAGGCTGTCTCCTTTGCCTTCTGGAATATTGCATTCCAAGATCTCATTTTTAGTTAAAGCAGCTACATCCTGGGTGAGCTGGACTGTGGGCTCCTTCATACTTTTTAAAACGGCTTCTTTCTGGACTTGTGCAGTAATTTTGGATTTTGCCTGTGACATTCTTGGAACTTTTCCTTTTGGGGGTGCCTTTCAAGAGGTCATAAGTGTATTTTTGTCTTCAATTTGCTCACTGGTTTTAATAGATCTGGACTGTTTTCATTTCTGATTTCTGAAGATAGAGTATCCAGTTTTTTGTTTGTTTTTAAGTCATGGTTTTCCAAGGCAAAAATTAGAGTCAGACTCAGTAAACATTTATTAGGCTCCTGCTCTGTGCCAGTCACTATACTGAGTGCAGGGATGACAGACAGGCATAGTGGTTCTGAAATTCTCTCTCTTTGGCCTGTTTTCCTGTCAATTGTTTTTACTATGAGATAGCTTGCATTTTCTTCTGTTTTTTCAGTTTTTTGATTTTACTATGTCTTGTCCTCTCAAGGAATCAGTGGTTTCTTTCTCGTCTGTTCTAGTTTGCAAGGAGCCTGTTACTTGGGTAAGATTTACCACTTTCTCTTCTAAGCTGCTTATTCTGCTTCTCATTCCTTCCTCAAAAGTTTTTATTTCATTTTTTATCTCTTTCTTCATTTCTTCTAGGTGTTCATGTAGCCCTTGTGGAAAATCTGGGGTTTTTTTGCTTTGAGTCTCTCTTTGCAATTGTTATGGAGTTAGATTTATGATAAATTTTGATACTGGTTGGTGTTTTCTTTGATTTACTCATCTCTCCAGCTTTGGTTCCTGAGTTGGGGCTTTGTGCCAGCCAGCCTGTGCTCCCTGCTGTATTTCTGGGTGGAGTAATTGATCCTGGGGGTCTTGCCCTGGGTCCCATGGGCTCTTGTGCTAATATTTGTCTCCCATTTCGGGTTTTTTCTGAAATCTCAAAATAGAGTGGCAGAGACCTCGGCATCCCTGAGGATCCGAGTGTGCTGCTGCTTGCTACCTCTGGATACAGTTTTGTCCCATCTCTGGTCACTCTGGTACTCACTTTTCTTGAGGGGGAACCTCCTTTCCTATTGCCCCTAAGCTTCTGGCTGACTTTCTGTGCAGCTCTGGGGTGGAAGATACTACTTCCTATAGTTTCTCATTGGATTTTGTGATTATCATTTGGTCTGGTATGAACTCAAGGGTTCTGTTAGCCTGGGAGGAGGTGGGAAGTGGACTGGGCAGCCTACCTTCCATTCAGGAAGCTGTCTTGGCAGGAAGTCCCAAACTTCATTTCTGTAGTCCATTTAAAGAAAAATTCCCTTTGTTGGGACAGCTGGCTTTAGGAGCATGAGTTCCAAAGTGTTTTCATTTGTTGTCAACCAGAGCCCACCCCCTTCATTCATCCAAGTCACTAGTGAAGCATAAGTTATTTAAATATAGTGAATAATACCAAGCAAGCTCAGGATTCTATTTTTGACACTAAATTTGGTTTTAGTATTTCCCTTGCCATTTTTGGAAAGGATATGTGAGGTTTCTTTTCCAACCTGATGATGAGTAATTCCCAATGTTTTGGGAGTGCCAATAGTACTTAAAAGCTAATTCAAATTGCCCAATTCAGTATCTAGCTTTGGTCAGTAAGAGGTACACTAGAAATAGCCAGCCAAGGCCTTATTACTGCTTCCAGGCCTGCATGGCGGGTAACCTATATTGTTATATTGAGGAGACTTCACTGCCATAGGCAGCTGGTGGATAGTGCTGGGCCTGGACTCAGGAGAACCTGAGTTTAAATATGGCCTCAGACACTTAATAACTGTGTGACCCTGGGCAAATCACTTAACAACCTCTGTTTGCCTCAGTTTTCTCAACTGTAAAATGGAGATAATAATAGCATGTGCCTCACAGGGTTGTTGTAAGGATTAAATAAGATAATATTTACAAAAAGCACTTAGAACAATGCCTGGCACATAGTAGGTACTATATAAATACTTATTCTCTTGTTTGCTTCCCTTCCTCCATTCCATTCTCCTCCTTGGCTTTGAAGTCTCACTGAAGGCTTCCATGATCAGTGTTGATTCAGCAATATGAGCTCCTTGAAAAAAACAGCTGTGTCTTATCTAAAATCCAGGCAGGTCCTTGATTAATGTTTATTGATTTGAATTAGAAGGAAAGTTTTCAGCTACATTTGAAGGAAACAAGACTTCTCATTAAATCTCACATAGCAAACAAGATGGTATCCTTGATGATGGCCAACATTAAAGTCTGATCTTTTGATCATATAACTTCTAGAAAACTGATTTTGTTTTAGCCCTTAAGGCTCCACAAAGGACTATCTATCTAGCTATCTGTTAGGAGCTCTCTTACCCGTTTATAGATGGCATTTCCTAGCATGTTTGCAACAGCAGCACCTTCCCTTATGCCCTTTAGCTAACTTTACCAGTCAGTGTTCAATTTAGATCCAAGTTTTCCTTTTGGTCAGGTGAAAGAAGGAGAATTTTAGCATTTGAGGGAAATTGATGGGGTCTTTAGGGATTGATTGGAGACACCATGTCTAGTCACAGACCCTTAACTGAGTAACTGTGGGTTTCACTCTGAATTCACTCCAGTGGTTTCCCTGTCCTGTGTCCAGGTCATTGCATGTGTAGGAAAATCAGTTTGAATGATCTGTATTCAAAATGTGCTTATTGGAGAGAGAGAAACAGAAATAGAGACAGAGGAAGAGAGGAGCTGGGAAGAGGCCTGCTTCCTGGCTTTAGGATTTTTGCCATTTAGTTTGGAAGCTCTGCTTCTTCAGTTGGAGCAATGAAAGGGAAAGAGCTGCATTGTAATCCTGAGCCTCTGTGTCCTGTGATAAAATTAGCCATCTGGGTGTTTACAGCAATTGCTTATTGGAATTCTATGGAAATGTGTCTCTAGGCCATGTTCCTGTGGAATGAGGGAGCACAGCTGTGATCATTTCATACAAGCACGCAAGTTATTTTAAAATTTCCAACATTTTACTACTTCCATAAACTGCTTCCAAATAAATAAAACATTTTCTAACCAGAAATGTTGAGTGATAACCAGATGTCGGCTATGAGGCACTTTTTTTTTATCTGGATCTCTTATTCTGTTTTAGAGTTTTGTTTTGATTTTCAAGATGTGCTGAAGGGTTTGGAAAGTTTTGGGCTTATGGAGAAAGGAAT